AGAATGTCTCACTGTAATTTGAAAAGAAAACAATGAACCCATTGTGCCCTGAGCACTAGGCTTGACCGGGCAGCAAAGGACGCGGACATCCGTCCATTTCAATGGTCGTCGAATTTGTATTGTGTTTCACTTGTGCTCTGCTGTTCTCTCGGAGACAAACAGCATTGACATCAATTATGTCCTGATGTGTGGTGAATGCTTCAAGTTCAAGCAATGAAAAAGCAATGTGCAGTGTGGGAAAGTCAGTGCCGCTTAACAGCACAGTGGCCCGGTCAAAATAGATCAAATAAACAATGGCGAAGTCTGCGGAAGGAAGTTGCAATGCCGAAACGGATATCGCTTTCTATAGCTTGTCATGCTGTTTGGTCCATAAAAACAAAGATAGGTGCTGGGCTTTCATTATTGCATTCTTTTCATTTTTAGAGGGTACTTTGCATGGAATTTTGCACGTAGCATCCAACCGCGTAAACGCAACAACAAATAGTTTGCGTCCCCATTTATTTTATTTAAAGTTATACTTACGGTATGCAAACATCTTCGTTCTAGATGTGGACTTAAATTCATCATAGCCATTCAATGCTAAATGTGCAAAATTCAACCAACAGCTATTCTGCAACCTAATGGAAAAGTGACGGTGGCTGTCCGAAGGTCATGGCTCGGCGACTTTTGGAGCTGGTCGCTCGGGCGCTGGCAGGTCTCGCCACCATTGAGCAAGCTGAGCACACACAGGTAACGTGTGACGAGCGGTCGTCGCTCGGTTTGGCCATCGGTGACGGCGGCAAACATCCGTCTCCGCGGCAACCAAAACTGTGCGCAGCCGAGACTGGGACTGGAACTGGGACCGGGACTGGAGGGGACTGGGACTGTGACTGGGACAGGGACTGGGACTGCGACAGGGACTGGGACTGGGACAGGGACAGGGACCTGGGACTGGGACTGGGACAGGGACATGGGCTGGGACTGGGACAGGGACAGCGACTGGGACAGGGACTGGGACAGGGACTGGGACTGGGACAGGGACAGGGATTGGGACTGGGACAGAGACTGTGACTGTGACAGGGACTGGGACTGGGGCAGGGACAGGGACAGGGCAGAGACAGGGCAGGGACAGGGACAGGGACAGGGACAGGGACAGGGACTGGGACTGGGACAGGGACTGGGACTGGGACTGGGACTGGGACTGGGACTGGGACAGGGACAGGGACAGGGACAGGGACAGGGACAGGGACAGGGACAGCGACTGATATGGGTCATGGGCTGGGACTGGGACTGAGACAGGGATTGGGACTGGGACAGGGACTGGGACAGGGACAGGGACAGGGACAGGGACAGGGACAGGGTCATGGGCTGGGACTGGGACAGAGACTGGGACAGGGACTGGGACTGCGGCAGGGGCAGGGACAGGGACAGGGACAGGGACAGGGACAGGGCAGAGACAGGGCAGGGACAGGGACAGGGACAGGGACAGGGACAGGGACAGGGACAGGGACAGGGACAGGGACTGGGACTGGGACTGGGACTGGGACTGGGACTGGGACTGGGACTGGGACAGGGACAGGGACAGGGACAGGGACAGGGACAGGGACAGGGACAGCGACTGATATGGGTCATGGGCTGGGACTGGGACTGGGACAGGGATTGGGACTGGGACAGGGACTGGGACAGGGACAGGGACAGGGACAGGGACAGGGTCATGGGCTGGGACTGGGACTGGGACAGGGATTGGGACTGGGACAGGGACTGGGACTGGGACAGGGACAGGGACAGGGACAGGGTCATGGGCTGGGACTGGGACAGGGATTGGGACTGGGACAGGGACAGCGACTGGGACAAGTAATGGGACAGGGACAGGGATTGGGATTGGGACAGGGAGTGTGACAGGGACAATGGGATAGGGACATTAGGATGGAGAGTGGGACAGAGACACTGGGACAGGCAGTGAAAGTTTCACCTTCCCAGGTTTCGAATTGAGCAGGTTTAGTCAACTCAAATGTAATTACATTATGTAGTTCAAGAATGGGAGATTTAAGTTTTACCCATCATAATATGTTACCAAACTTGATGTGGTGTGTCAACGTGTCAGCCAGGAGCAACCAGTTCTCATATGAAAACAATAACCATTGGTTAGCAGTCGCTGGCGTCATATAACCCTCAGAGGTTGGGCACGCCATCAAACCCAATCATCATCTTTAGCAGTCGATACAAGTCACAAAATGACAGTGAGATGCAAATCACTGCTTCGACGGACAATGACATAAGTCAAATGTTTTTATCAGTCGTTCATGGTTGCGGATGGATAAATGTTCATCTCCATTAGCCAGGGGCGGCGGATTCGGGGGGGGGGGGGGGGCAGGGGGGGCAGCTGCCCCCCCTGGCAAACTCGTGGGGGGGGGGCAAAAGTATCTTTTTGCCCCCCCCATAATTTGTGACATAAAAGTTAGACAAGAAACCATATACCTAATTATTCTGTTCGATCATCTGAAGATGTAACCAGATGCCCATGTACTTTATCATACGTTGCCTTTCTTAAATGACAAGCGTTCGCGTTCAATTGGAGTTTTCCTCTCTTCAACCTAGTTTTGGAGGCATTATAAGCGTCAACGTGACCCAGCGACAACCCAGGCCTTCAGTGACCGCTTACAGGGGCGACGGATACGGGGCGGCAGAGGAGGCATCGTCTCCTAAGAAAGTTTTGGAGGAGGGGCAAACGTATATTCTTGCCCCTCCATAATTTGTGCACTAAACATGGGGAAAACTTTCATAACCTGATATTGCAGCTATGCGCTCGTACAGTTTGTCCAACGGTGCCTTTTGAATATGTGTAAATGCTAACCATTTCCGCTTTATAACTTTTTTTGTCTTTTCAGATTCGATTTAGAGATATTTTAAGTGTGCAAGAGACGCAACTCATACCTTCAGTGGTCGTTTGCCGCTATTTTGTACCTACATAAATGCCAAATCGCAAGCGAGTGGAGACGGAAGGGCTAGCCATTCGCTTGCGGGTATTTAGGACTGATGAGCGTTCATAATAAGCCACACCCCTGATTTTTTTTCGAGCGCAACAGTTTCCAATGCATAAAATGGTAAACGCCGAGATCGTACACATTGACCACATTGACCAATGCACGGGTATGACACCCAAAGGCCAGTCATCAGAGATCTGCTTTGGGCATTCGGAGGCTTGTGTGGGGCCAGTGTAAAAACTGGATGTTCACAGTTCAGTATCCGATTTATTTCAGTTTTCACTATTAAATAAGTAAAAGTTAAAGTTGGAAACTTTGGAGGGTTAGGGCACTGATCATTAGTGTGCCCCCCTCTCATTCGGAAACACGAATGGATATCGTGATCGCTTTTCCTGAAGCATGCTTCAGTTTGATCGACAGATTGCAATCTGTAGATCAAACGCTCACCGTTCCTCGATCATGCGACAAACAGACGCCCTCTATAGGTTTCAATCTTCCCTGGGTCACACCAAAGTCCTGGTTGTAAAGTCAATGGATGAGGTCATTCGGCATTGTAGGCCCACATTAGGCCCAGTGATTCTTGAGTGCCAGAACCGGCAGATGTCGTGGCAAAATTTGGTGTGATAATTTGGACCTTACCGCAGTCAGCGCACCTATAAAGCCCTAATAAAGAAACGCCCCACCCAGAGCTTCTGGATCCTCGTTCCAGTCCGCCGTTCCTTCACCCTAGCCTCAGCCCTCCGTTCCCAGCTTGACGGGCGTTTGGGCCTTAGTTAAGCCTTGCTGTAGGCTTACTGTATAAACCCATCGAGACAGCCCGTCTCGGTGAGCTTAGTTGGCGAACTACTGCCTTGGGGTGGGTTTCTGGCGGATCGCTGTCCCAATAGGTTTAGATGCGACCGACTGTCTCTGAATGTTTGGTAAGCGGTCTCCTCCCGCTGTGAGCTGGTTTCAGTTGATATTTGTCTCAGAAATACTTTTTAAGGGAACGTTAAACGGAAATCGAACGTAAAAGGAACAGAGGAAATGAGGAACGAACAATGAGGTAAGGAGTTACCTCATTGAAGAATAGCGCTCGCTTACTTCAAAAGGTTTGGCACCGTTCTTCAACATCTGATATGCGATCGGGTTATGGCATAATTTTTCCCATTGGAGCTTTTTTCTAATACAGCAATACGAAAATCGTTACATAGTCCACTGGCGGATCCAGGGAGCGGGCATTTAAAGCAAATACCCCCCCCCCCCCTGCATCGCCCGAAATAGACAAAACATATCTTATGTTTCCTAATAATAAAACTTTCATCAGTAATTTTTTTGCTTTATACTGTTCAGCAGCAGGTCCGTAAGGAATCGAAATCCGAGGAGTTTTTGGATTTTGGACATTTTTTTTTTTGGGGGGGGGGGTATGTCCCCTACAGCGTCGAAAACGCCTTTCTGGATCCGCCTATGACATCATCTCGACTGGGATCTTGCCCCCCCACGCCAAAATCGAATCCGCCGCCACTGCCATTAGCTGCTTGGTTTCGGTTGAGTTTTTGTGTAATAATTACCCAAAAGGTACCTAACCGAGCCAACGGGCCAACACCAATCGCTCTACTCTACTCTTATTGTCCATGGCGTTTCTCCCGATCCTCAGATTTTGCGTTGTAACTACCCATTAGTTTCTCCAGTACTGCACTTGTTATCGTACATACTTATGGGGATATGGTTCCACCCGCGATGCGACAACAATAGAACCTTTTGAAAGACACTAACTAGCCATCGGTACGTTATTGCACTGAACAAGACATCTATCACTCCAACATAGAAACTGTAATACAATGCAAAGGAGCCGCGAGCATGTGGCATCTGCATTTTAAAGAATGAAAGTATGATAAAAGTGTAACGTATTTCGGCGTGCACGGTCTCAACCCATGCGCACGGTGCATAAATTTGAACTTGAATCGTGAAATCACTTTCTCGAAGCTTGACAATCGACAAGGACGTCGCTTTCTACTTTTCAGTTTCTATGGCAACAAATACAACGTCGCTGCTCACCATTTCACAGCAGCGTCGTCCTTCCCGACTGTCATGGCTGGCTGTGGGGGGGGGGGGGGGTTTCAGTCGCTCCAGCGACTCCGGGAGCAGTCGCCACACCGAGCGGTCCCTGGCGCCGCCGCCGACACACTGACGGTCGTCGCGAGCGTGCAGCGCTCTGCCGTCGCGCCGCCACCGCCGCCGGCGGCGGCCCTGCCCAGAAGCCGCACACAACTCCGAGAGATCGGCCGCCAGCCAATCCAGTTAGTCGGCGCGCGTGCTGGCGGCGCCTCCTTCTCGTGAGAGAGCTTCCTACCAGCTTCCTACATTACGCCCGACCGCACGGCACTGCGAGCGCACCATACGGGAGCGCGAACGCACCGCACCGGAGTGCTAACGCATGGCAGCGTGACCACGCAACACGGCAGCGTGACCGTGGGTACCTCCTTACCACATGGCAGTGCTACTTTATGTCGAACGCACATTACGGCAGCTAGTCGCCCGTCAGCTAGCTCGTAAAATGATGCTTGGTCAAGCTCCCGCGCCAGACTCGAAATTGCCAGTCGAGATCGAGACCACACATTGCGATAGAGAAATAGATTGTTCCTTGAAGGTTAGATGAATGATCTTTATTTTAATGATCTTACACAGATTATGCATGGATAACCTGAACCATTTCACAAGTATTATACGGCATATGATGCGTCTCTCAGTAGGTAGGTATATACAACTGTACAGTATACAGTACACACTGCACACAGCTGTGAAAGGCGAATCCAGCTTGGCACGATAACTCTTTATACAACCAGTATAACGCCTTTTGGGGCGACTAACGGAGCGAGCGAGAGGATGGGCCTTGCACGTGCGAAATTGCGAGGGGGTACCTCCAACTGACTTGTGCACGGCACCCTACTAACCGGTCTCTAGCGATGTGCCAAATTTGAGCACCATCGGCCCAGCCGTTCTCGAGATCTGGAAGCGACACCCTGCACGTGCGCACGTGCAAAATGGGTCCCAACTGACTTGTGCACGGCACCCTACTAACTGCTCCGTAACCGTGTACCAAATTTGAGCGCAATCGGTCCAGCCGTTCTTGAGATCTGGAAACGACCCCTGCACGTGCGCACGTGCAGCAGCACCCCAACTCTGGCACATGGATAAGCATTGCCTAGTGGGTGCCTGCCTACATGCCAACTTTCAGCGCAATCGGCCAAGTAGTTACCGAGATATTGCAACAATTACAAAAGTGACACCTCTTCGTTTTGCACGTGGCACGTGCATAAGGGGTCACCCACATGCATCAAGAATCGTCCAATACTTGGTAGAAGGAATGAAGCTACCCTACAAAAATTACCGCATGTAAATCGGTCAAGTGGTTGCTGAGATATAAGCGTCGCAGAATCGTGACCACGGCCGGCCGGCCGGCCGGCCGCTCATACTCAGAAATTTCCGTTATTCTACGTCGCTCGCTTCGCTCGCTCCGTAATAAAATCGGTGTCGTCGCATATGCGATGCCTAAATCTTAACCCTCGCCCGCACATGGGGGGTTGCCCTACAATAGCCCTACAATAGATCCCCTACAATAGCGTGTCTCCTGTGTTCAGCTTTGTATGTGGCTGCCCTGCAGCAACGGCAATAGAGCGGTCTCAGTAGTAGCAATCAGTAGTCAATCAGTAGTCATATTGTCGATGGTTTATTGCGACCCGCCTTTGTCCGTCGCCGGATCTGCAGTCTGCGGGCCTCTGATTGCCTGACCGGAGTTCCGGGGCGCGCTAGTTCGCTCACCGGGTGTAGTTATGATCTCGCACAAAACACCCAGCGCCGCGTGAAAGTCAGACGGTGTCCATAATCTCGGAGTATATACCCTGCACGTTATTGCCGATGAAAGCCACCGCCGACCTTATTACTGTAGCGGGCCGAAACTACTAGCTGCCAAGAGATTATCATCTGTGGCAAACCATGGCATATTCAGTCTCATAACTCGTTATATGGTCATATAAACCTGCAAGTGCTGAGATGTTTCACCACCTGGAACTTGGGTAGGAGGGAGGGGAGGGCCACTAGCAACAGATAAATCCCAAACTGCTTGGCGCAAAAGAGACGCAATTGTTAGCTGAGCATTTCAATCAAAACATATGTATGAAAATCCAATATTATTGAAAAAAAACTTGCATTGGTGGTGCTAAGATAGCCGTAGCCCTCACGCATAGAAGCTGTCAGCTTCTGAGAGGCCGATCTCTTTGATTGTTCGTGCCACACCGTCAATCTGCTTCACAACACAGTAGGTAAAGTAAGGGACTAAGTGTGCTTAGGTGAGTAGTCTGTATTGGGCCTCAGGTGTGCAGAATGTTGCCATGCAGCGCGCCCAGCCGGACGGCCAACCATAAATTTTATAGTTTCTGGTAGAACAAGAAACTAACACTGGCTTTTAGGAATGCAATCTCCCACGGACCCTTACAGCCAAGAGACACTGTTTAGACCATCTCGCCGTCTGCCTATTGTTGACACCGCCCAAAGGTCGATCCGCAGTCGCCCCACCGCAGCCCCGCACGATACAGAAGCACCGTTCAGTTCCCCTGTAAGCTGCGGGGCTTCCAAGAACCCGTGACCCCGCCAAAGCTCTAGTGACGTCACATATGGCGCGTCACGTGACTGTCAGTCAGTGTCACGTGACCGACAGCCGATGTCTGCCGGGTGCACGTGACCCCTTGGTGCACGGAGGACACGTGACCTAGTGAATGGAAGCACATTCCCTGCTGTTTAGTGAACTCCAAAGCATACAGTTTTATCACTTGTAAGCGTTGAGTCGTTATTTTGGAATACCTATGTGCATTGTGTATGGACTAAATAATTAGCATTTTTATTTCAAAATGATATGCGCAACGCAAACATTGTTGACTTTCCTGATAAAAACTCCTACAGGCTTAAAACAAAACGGAATGGAAAATCAGTGTGCCAGAGCATTTTTCAGAACACCAAAGCCCAACCCCAAACAAAGGCATCCAAAAGAATCAAAATAGCCTTCAAAACCTTATTACCACAGAAGCTAATGACAGGCTTTCGAGCTAAGTTTAGCCGAGGGCTACCACAGCACTGATTGGTTGCTGCGCCGTTTCGGCGAATCTCGGCATTCTGTTCATTCTGACGTCACACACCATCTGCAGGTTTGACGTCACCGTCATTCACAACCGCTCCCGGGGATCGGGTCGTCTCGAGGTCGGCCAGAGGACGTGCTCATCAGCTATAAACCCATTCGCCCTGGTGCAAAGGACCACAATAGCCGCTGGGGTGAACGGTGCACACAATTCGCCGTGATGGGAGCTGGTCAGGCGATGACGACATTGGCAGCTGGATCGGGCGGCTGGTTTCGGGGGCGTGGAGATGACGAGCAGTGCCACATAGGCATTTCGATCGAAGAAAACAGATCCAGGATACTAATCACATGGATCTGGATCTAGATGAGACATATGAGTTGATGGATATTGGTAGAGAGACTTACACTCAATTTCTCAAGATTGAATGGATAAATATCTGTAATGTTTTTATTATCACTTTTTAGAACTTCTAAATCACTTCTGAATTTTGTGAGCTCGGTAATTTCTTATTATTACAGTGAACGCCTGCTTCTGAGAACGTAACGGTCTCCCAGTAAAGCCTGAAAATTTCATAAAACGCTGCAAAATAGCTGTCATTCGGAAAATCACCACCATCTGTGTTTTTGGTTCGTTTCTGTCTTTACGGATCGATACCGCAGTTTGATGTTTCGACTACAAAGAAACATTGAATATGCAAACGGACATGCGGACAGACAGGTTATATCCCAACATTTTATTTTCATTATCAGCTGCACTTTTGAAAGCCAGCTTTATTCATTGCTGTCCAGATGTTTGTAATGGCTGTCATGTGACTAATGCTTTATGTGCATGAAATTTGCTGTAACATAATTCCTTCCATCAAATTTCAATACCACAACGACAGTTCAGGATGTAACTGAAATTTCATATACAGCTTAGAAAGAACTTCAGATGGATTGCCTGTAGATGCTCGTGCTGAATTCGTATGAACTATGACTTGAGAGTCTGCATCTTGCTGTTGTAGATCAGTGTGCCCTCGAATCGCTAGACCCAGCAGCGTGTCTTAGAGAGCAAAGCATCATTGCTGCGTTTGCCGTTTGACCGTAGGTATACGCCAAGTAGTAACATCCTACCCGAAAAGGTCAGCCCAGTCATCTGCAAATAATGGTCATTTACGGCTTGCTGTGAAACACAAACACACAACAGACGGGCAGGTCGGCCTAGAACACCAGTGACCAAGACGGCCACCACAAGGACGCGTCAACACCGCCACCAGAGCAGGAAGAATTGCCCAACAGCGGCGGATTGGAAAACAAAGATCCCAGCCGGCAACGCATCGGACACGCCAATGCATGCACTTACCAACACGCACGGGGCTGCTTTCTCTCTCAAACACAGGGTCGTAGCAACAGACCCCATCGTTTCGGCGCCGTGGTCACGACAACAGCGGTGAAGGCCTTCAACACGGGGTAGCGTTTTACAGTGTTGGCGAACGTATGCGTTTCACATGCATCTGCATGTATGCATTCATACATAAGGCTACTAATATGCGCACCGTTGTGCATGCAAATGACACATGCACGCAAGCTCACGCTGTCTGGAAACAATGTTAGAGAGAGAGAGAGAGAGAGAGAGAGAGAGAGAGAGAGAGAGAGAGAGAGAGAGAGAGAGAGAGAGAGAGAGAGGAGAGAGGAGAGAGAGGAGAGAGAGAGAGTAAGTTTCATTAGTCTGAATTGTTGTGAGCACTGTTTTGAGAGACATAGACATACTTAAAAATATAATCAAAAAAAGTAACCGTACTCTCATAATTAAAATCAAAAATCTTAAAAAAGGCCAGATAATCTCGAGGATTATCGAGATGAGAGATGAGAGCGAGTTATATGAGAGCGAGTTGAAGAAGGCGTAAGCCGAAAGCTCCTCGAGATTATCTGACCTTTTTTAAGATTTTTGATTTTAATTATGAGAGTACGGTTACTTTTTTTGATTATATTTTTGAGAGTAAGTTTCATAAAAACGTAGTTCCGGGACAAAAATTAAAAATCAGTTTTCATTGATACATGGGCATTGGGCAACATTAC